AATGTGTACAAATGTGCTTCTCTGCTCAGCTGTGCACACTTGTGTGTAATTATTCACACTGGACAAAGCCTGTCAGAGCAACTCTGTAGCAATCTGGGGAAAACACCTGAGTACCAGGCTGAACTCAATCATTTTATTTTTCTCTAGGCCTTAGGATCATTCAGCCCCGAATGCTTGAGATCAAAGATTCTCCCATCGTGCTGAGAACTAGTGATCCACAAAAAATAATGTGGTTTGGAGGTATCGGAATAAAAGACCACACTAAACATTAACATATTTGCTTTGATGTTCAAGATTTTAAGGGAGACTGGGACATGTATTCCCTTGCCTTCATCTTCTCTGCATCTCAAAGAAACAGTTACCATGTCCTATTTTTATCGTTCTTTTTAAATAAGAGCCTCTTTCTAGTGTCACTGTGGCCAGGCTGCCTCATCCATGATTGTGCTCAGTTGATGGATCTTCCAAAGGTCTTTCTCTCCCTAGTGGACAAGAGGGCAGCATCTGGCAAAATCATTTCAGTGCAACATAGAAATTGGATCAACAAGTCACCTACAGAAGTGGCATCAATAAACAAATAATACTTCAAGATTTCCTAACTCATTTAGTAACCTGAGAGTGGGACTGGCTGTATTCAGATCACAGATGTGCATTGCAATCTGAGCTGCTTCTAAGTCAGGGATGCTCTAGGCAATGAAAAGTAGAGAGTAACTAGCCCAGTAAGAATTATTCAGCTTAATAGAACAGCACAGCAGGCTTGGTGGGATGCCTAGAAAGAAATAACAAAGGAGAGCTTTGGGAGCAAAGGACATCAGCACAAGGTTGGGTGGAAGGGAAAAAAGAGCCATGGATTGGGGGCTGATGCCTCTGGGTTCAGACATGGAAGAGAGAGACTGAAACTTGGAGTTTGGGGAAATTTACCCACCAACCAATAAGTAGATTTCATGAAAAATATAAAATTGAACATGTTAAATGAGTTTGAGCTTTCTCTGAGTTATATAGATTAATAGTAATATACTCAGACCAGTCTGCCTTACCTCAGTCCCTGGAAAAATCACGGAGGGGATCCTCAAGGAATCTATTTTGAAGCAGTTGGAAGAGGGGAAAGTGATCAGGAATAGTCAACACCACCAAAAGCAATAGTCACCAATGGCAAGTCATGCCTGACCAATCTAATTAGCTTCTATGATGAGGTAACTGGCTCTGTGGACATGGGGAAGTCAGTGGATGTGATATACCTTGACTTTAACAAAGCTTTTCATATGTTCTCCCACAATATTCTTGCCAGCAAGTTAAGGTAGTATGGATTGGACAAATGGACTGTGAGAGGGATAGAAAGTTGATTAGATTGTTGGGCCCAATCGGTAATGATCAATGATTCGATGTCTGGTTGGTGATCAGTTTCAAATGGAATGCCTCCCAGATTGGATCTAGGGCCAGTTTTGTTCACCATCTTTCTTAATGACCTGGACGAGGGGATGGATTGCACCCTCAGCAAGTTTGCGGATGATACTAAGCTAGGGGGAGAGGTAAATAAGTTAGAGGGCAGGGATAGGGTCCAGAGTGACCTAGACAAGTTGGAGGATTGGGCCAATTTGTCCCAAAAGTAATCTGATGAGTTTCCACAAGGACAAGTGCAGTCTCCTGTACTTGGGAAGGGAGAATCCCAAGCATTGTTACAGCTGCAGACCGACTGGTTAAGCAGCAGTTCAGCAGAAAAGGACCTGGGGATTACAGTGGATGAGAAGCTGGATATGAGTCAACAGTGTGCCCTTGTAGCCAAGAAGGCTAATGACATATTAGGGTGCATTAGGAGGAGCATTTCCAGCAGATCTTGAGAAGTTATTATTCTCCTTTATTTGGCACTGGTGAGGCCACATCTGGTGTATTGCATCCAGTTCTGGGCCCACATTATGGAAAGGATGTGGATGCATTGGAGAGGTTCCAGCAGAGGGCTACCAAAATGATAAGGGGGCTGAAGCACATGACCTATGAGCAGAATCTGAAGGATTAGGTTTTATATAATCTGTAGAAAGTGGTGGTGGTGGTGGGGGGGGGAGGGAGAATTTGATGGCAGCCTTCAACTTCCTGAAGGGAGGTTCCAAAGAGGATGGAGAGAGGCTGTTCTCAGTAGTGACAGATGGTCCCTGGTATTTTTATATTACACATCACTAAAATTAGTCTTCATTTAACTTTTAGTAATACAAATGGGATCACTATTCATTTTAGTCCTTGTGTAAAAATTCTAGAATGAGCGAAGATGAGGGGGTAAGATGGTGAGGCAACTGTAGAAGATAGAACATAAGTTTGAATTAAAGATTTGAATTTACTATGCCATGCACATTAGTGTGGTCAGACTGTAAAAAGATCTGTTTAAAAGAATTGCTTCCTTTTATGAGCTATTCACATTTTGAGTTCTTATGTGGTATAGGAAAACTTCTGGCAGTTCACTCAAGTCTTCATGAGTTTTTAACAGAAAAAGACAATATGCTGCTGCTTACTACCATTCATTTAAAACCGCAGGTTCTGAATCTCTAGAAAATAATTATTTTTCCACACTTGGTCCTATTTTCAAATTACATCCTAAAACTAATAAAGGTAGTCTGGGTCACAGAGAAGAGTCATCCTGGTTTCATGAGAAATACTGCCTCAATCTTTTGATTACTTTAAAAGATGTATTGCCTTAAGATATATATATGTTATATAAGCCTGTAATAGATTGTTTTGCCTCCAGGCAATTTTCATTATTTCAGTGAACTTGTCTGATTGTTTAGTTAAAATTTTAGGTAAGTCTCCTGAGAAATGATTTAATTTCTTGATAACTAAAACTACTTTTGAAATTATTTTGTTCTTTTAAGCCCATGGTATCAGTTTACCCTTAAAAAGGGATTTCCTCTGAAATCTGCTTTGTAGATCTGTGATGTATTTTTTCCTTATTTGGAAATCACATTCTCAGTGGGATTTCTATGGAATGAATGTACCATACACAATGATGTCTCACAAAGCAGAAAAAATACGTTTGTTATTACTGTATTATTAATTATTATTTATTATTATTGATTGCTAATGCTTCTAGGACTCAAAACCTCTTCTTTTGACATTTCTATACTCCTTTAGAATAGAAGCTGTGTGATTTTGATTATTGATGGTCTGCATACTAAATAATTGGCTTTAACACTGTACTGTGTGCAACTCAGCATGTACTTTCTACTGCTGTATACACTAACCAAAACCACGAGTGAGAAATTTTAGATAACAAGGGATTGAGGTAGGTCTTCGGTAGGCTGAGTGACAAAATGAGGTTGTTTCAAAGGAGTTGGTCTGAGCAAGGTTTAAAGAAAATCTAAAATGCAATTTAGATGTGCACAGGAATCTGCAGCCAATTTTAAAAGCCTCAGGCCAGCACACAGTGTACAGAGCAACACTTAGCTTTTACTTATTATTAGGATAGTGTCGACATAACAAACATAAGTGCTTCCTATATTTTTTTTTAATGTTGAGATGATTTCCTCCCCACACTAAGACTAGCAGCAGCTCTAAGAGTATCCAAACAGTGCTGTGTTAAATGCCTGGAGATCCCTCTAACCCTAAATTAGAAATACAGTTCTTTCTGCTGGAAAAAGCAGGGTGTTGATTATTGTACATATCTTCTGCTGCGTGAATAGAGAAGAAGTCCAAGCAAGTTTATCAAGCCACATTTGTAGCAGTTGCAATCACTGAGGGACTTTTAAAGCTATGTAAAGAAAAGAGAAATACAAGCGTGGATATTGTATATTAAAAGTGCATCAGTAGATGCATGGTTACACTCTTCACAGTGCTCATGACTGAGGGTTATGCATGTGTCTCAGTAGTATGCTTATATCGTATTTTGTCCCCCATACCTCACAGGTCAAAAACAAGATCACACAATTATTATTGGTTTCACATAGCACTCTTTAGGGCATGACAACCATAGGAGACATATGTGTTCTGTATGTGAGGGAGTTAAAGAACTCTCCATAGGATATGATCAAGTGCCTCCATAAATAAGAAAATCTACACAATTTTATGCCTTTTCAAAGACAAAGGCATATATACCTGAAGGCCACAGCACTTTGCAAAATACTAAGATATGCTGTTTGTTGTTTTACTTCTTGCTTAGAGAACTGCATTTGAGATTCAACTTGGATACCACTTTCCTAATGGGTACAATATAAAAACCTAGATGGAAAACAAAATTTACAAATGGTGGTATAAGGTACATTATTAACACAAGGGAACTTTTTTGTCCACTACTCAATTATAAATTTGGTACTAAGCACTACTGAAGTTCTAACCAATCACAAAGAAAATAGAAAATTTAGTAAGGAGCCTTAAGAGAGGATGCTATATTTTGTCATGTTATTGTGTGGTAGAAAACCTGGTCTGAAGTCAATTAAGGTTTCTACATATTGTGCTTTCAACCTCTATGAACAAGTTTTCAGTTTATGGGGTAAGAACTGGAGTACTTCATCTTGCAGAAGGACCCATAGCAGTAGGTGTTAGATCAACATTATGGTCTGAAGGGAAATGGTAAAGCCAATCAAATCAGAAGTCAGGACTTTGGCATGGAGGGTGCATCACAGGAGGGAAAGCAGAGGGAAGGTGAAATGGACACTGCAGATTTGTGGGAAGATGGTAGCCTACTGAGAGCTGCCATGGAATCATTCTGAAGTTCTAGCCTCGGGAAGCAGTGAAGCTTTGGGGAAACCCATGGTTTAAGATCAGGTGAGAGAAAGTGTCTTGTCTCCACTCCTTGCCTCCTACCAGAAACAATGAAAAAATTTTTCAAAGGGAATTTTGAGCTTTCATTCAGCTGCATTGTCCCTGAGCTTTTTTGCACAGATGGTTTCAGAATACAAAGAAATGTTTCATACGCTGTGCATTTTGGAAACAATAGTTTAAAAATTACCAGTGAGGCGAATGAGTAACTGAACTTCATCACAATAGCCTTTTTGGTTTCTTTCCCTTTTTGGTTGTTGCAGGTGATTACATAGTCATGACGATATACTTCGATTTAAGTAGAAGAATGGGATACTTCACTATTCAAACATACATACCCTGTATCCTAACAGTTGTGTTATCCTGGGTATCATTCTGGATTAAAAAAGATGCTACACCAGCAAGAACAGCACTAGGTAAGATCTTAAATCTGTCTCCTCTATGCTGGTGTTCAATATAAACAAATATCCTGCTGTATCATTTGAATATTTCATCTCCTTTCCAATTAGAAAAGCACTGGGCACTCGATATTTACAGTACGTCATCACTGTCAGCTCCTACAAGCCTAAATAAAAATAAATGAGTCTGCCACCTGTTTTGTTTGCATAATAGCTCAGAATATGTGATTGCCTCACTGATCCTTCTGTGGTTTCCCTAGTAGGATTTATGAATAATAGGCACAGTAGACTGCTTCATTCCTTCCTTCAGCTGCTGGTCCCTTATATACAGACAAACGGTCATGGAGTAAGAAGAAATTGGTTTCAAGTGATTAAGTTTGGGTGTCTAAAGTTAGATACATAACTAGGCATCCTGTTTTTCAGAGGTGCCAACAGCTCCCAAGCATTGCTGAAAATCAGGTCACTTAAGAGCCAAACTGTGGATGTAGTGTAATTTATGTTAAAAATAATTGGGCAGAATTCCCAAGGTCTAACCCAAAAGCTGCAGGATGTGCAAGTTTCAGGAACACAGGGGAGGGCTGTAATAGGAAATGAACTATATACACATTAAAACAGAAGGGAAGATTATTTGGGGTTACATTTTAGCTTGTAGGAGTCCCCTTGCAAATATGCAAGGGTCATCACCATCTGCCTATTTTCTACATTGGAAAATATTTTAAAATGTCTTATTGAAATGAAAATAATCACTACGTGATCTAAACTTCTTTCTAGAAGTTATCTTACTAAGCTCACACTGGGGAGCTAGACTCCGTGAGTGGGGCCTAGGATGTCAATTTCTTTGTTGCTATGCAGCCATCTATTAAAGTTTGTCAGCATCAGGCTGGGACCATTCTGCATCACACAAATAAGCAAAACTAATGTCTTAAAATAATACTCCAGCTCGTCATCCTGAATGACAACAAAAATATGCTACTAAAAATATGTTTTAAGTATAGGCTTCCCACTAGCTACCACTTTGCTTCAGCAATGAATCCAAACGTCAGCTGTTCCTGCTGTAAGTACACAGTCCATCTTGCCACTGGGTTAAATGAGCCTTTATTCTTGGTGGATGACAGGAGACATCTCTTCCAGTCAATGATGGCTCATTATGATGGAGCTATTCTGCAGGAGATGTAATAGGAAGAGACTCGGAGACCCTGCATTAAGACCACTGACAGCATACATTAGTTAATGAAAAACAAATAATTCAGCTCTAAAAAATCACTCCCTGTGAGGACAACACAAATTCACAAATGTCCCAGCTGCACTCCAGAAATACACAAATCTTAACAAACCTTTTGACAAATGTGCTCTGATTTTCTGCTTGCGTATAACACTTTGAATCCTGCTGAGTATTGCATTGGTAAGCTTTGAATTGAACAGCTATATACTACTAGAGGATTTACCCAGAGTTGCTCAGGTCAGTAATGTTCCCATATAAATGTGGGGAGGGGACCCTCAGCCCCCCCCCCCATCCTCACTAATGAGTGCCTGAGGGGCTCGGGTGGGGCTGAGGGGTTCAGGATGCAGGCTGCCCAAGGGAGAGAAGACAATATAACCTCGCAAGGGATTGGACTCGTGGAAGGCATGTGAATGTATTAAGGAGCTGGGATTGATGGTTCATTGTTAAGTGGTTGAGTCTGGATACAGCAACCCACCTTCATAGCCATGGGAGCTGTTTATTTCAGCACTGCCAATTAGCTGGTGATTGGGAACCTACAGGTCAGGTTTTCCCCTTTCTAGTTCCCCTGGGCTATGGCCAGTAGAATCATAGAATCATAGAATAATAGGACTGGAAGGGACCTCGAGAGGTCATCGAGTCCAGCCCCCCGCCCTCAAGGCAGGATCAAGCTCCGTCTACACCATCCCTGACAGATGTCTATCTAACCTGTTCTTAAATATCTCCAGAGAGGGAGATTCCACCACCTCCCTTGGCAATTTATTCCAATATTTGACCACCCTGACAGTTAGGAATGTTTTCCTAATGTCCAATCTAAACCTCCCCTGCTGCACTTTAAGCCCATTACTCCATGTCCTGTCCTCAGAAACCAAGAGGAACAAATTTTCTCCTTCCTCCTTGTGACACCCTTTTAGATATTTGAAAACCACTATCATGTCCCCCCTTAATCTTCTTTTTTCCAAACTAAACAAGCCCAGTTCATGAAGCCTGGCTTCATAGGTCATGTTCTCTAAACCTTTAATCATTCTTGTCGCTCTTCTCTGTACCCTTTCCAATTTCTCCACATCTTTCTTGAAATGTGGCGCCCAGAACTGGACACAGTACTCCAGCTGAGGCCTAACTAGCGCAGAGTAGAGCGGCAGAATGACTTCACGAGTTTTGCTTACAACACACCTGTTAATACAACCTAGAATCATATTTGCTTTTTTTGCAACAGCATCACACTGTTGACTCATATTCAACTTGTGGTCCACTATGACCCCTAGATCCCTTTCCGCCATGCTCCTTCCTAGACAGTCGCTTCCCATCTTGTATGTATGGAACTGATTGTTCCTTCCTATGTGAAGTAGTACCCCACTACTCCCAGGCTCCCTAGATAGGTTTTTATACCTCTTGATCCACCAATACTTCTTTGCCTTTGAGCAAATAGAAGGACCTATACCCCTTGTCCTTCTATTTTGGGACTTCTTTAAGTAATTTTGGGACCAGTCCGGGTTATTCTTTGTGTGTTTGTCCATAAGGAGGGACTGCTTTCTGATCTGGATGCCTCCTAATCTCACAGTTCAGAGATTGTATTAAGTTTCAATCATTTCATAGAGTGAAGTTTTATCTTTTATTGTAGGAGTGAGTTATCTCTAAAGCAGGCACATAGAGTTAATGAATGAACTAGAGATGGAAGAGTGGGCACATCTCTGGGATGCATTTGGAATAGTACGTTAACCATTAAGTTCAGATGCATGGGGGCAGTCTGGAGAGATTAAGAGATGCAGAGGGTTTGCAAGACCATGGGGATCCTCCGTGGGGATTGGTAAGCCAAATATCTGAGTCAGAAGAAAGGAGGAAAGATAGAAAGCCCAAAGAGCTAAAAGAGATCTCTATGCAGTGCCTCATAACCATCTGTCATGCCTTGGGGGAACAGGTTCAGGCAACATTGGCTAAGAAAGATGAAAAGATTCAGAAGTTAAAGAACTAGTTGTTTAAGTCCTCAGAGGCACGGTTGGCATTATTTTGTAGAATAGAGCAGGTCAGGCTGAAGTCCAAAACCTGGAAAAAGAAACTCAGACATGGAAAAGGAAAAGGAGTAAACTGTTTAAGAGCTGTGTATACATCTAAGTTTCAGTTGGAAAAGTAGTGTGAAAAACTAGAGGTAGACAAAGCATTGTGGAAGGGCACAGCAAAGACCACTGAGGACTCTGACACTACAAGAGAGAGTGTTCAGAGTGCAGAAAAAGAATCTCCACAGGATGAGGGAAAATCAAAAAGGAAGGCATCAGAGGCCCTCTCCCCATAGGACCAGTGAAACCAGCTGCGGTGAACTTAGTTAAGGGACCAGTGACTCGGAAAAAGGCAAGAGAGCTGGCAGCTCTTCCTTCACTGGAGGAAGTCGATAGGCCATTATCAGCAAGTGATTTGATAATGGAAGAGGGAAGTCTGCTAGCCACAGGGTCAGAAGAGTAAGGTGACTCCCCGGGCTCAGAGATGGAGTCTGAAGTGGACACTGTTTTGTTAGGCATCTACTTTTATGTGAGCTTTTGCAATCCTCCCCTCCTTCAACAGCACTGTTTGCTGGAACCAAAGTGCTCCCAGGGCAACCTCCTTCACTGATGGTAATGCTGGGGGCAGAGGATGAAGGGTCTTTGGAAATTCACCTTGCAAGAGAAGAACAAGCAATAACAGAAATTATGCAAACACCTGATTTATGTTCTGCTCTTGTCACTTGGCTGCAGGAGAGAAAGCATGTAAGTTTGCAGCCTAGGGAAACAATCCCAGACATGTCAATCCCCTCACCCTCTATCTTCATAACCCCTTATGAGGTAGGGAGTTCTCAATTTTTCCTCACATGGGAATTACTCTTAGGGTCACCAGAAACCGGGACACCCCCAAACTATTGGTGTGTAGTGGTATCATCCCCCATCCCAGGTGAACCTTCTTGGGGTACATTGAGGAATGTTACTCATCAGTATACCAATGCCCTCAACTGGCATTGGGGGAATTCCTCCAAGTACTCCACTAACCATTCTCCAGGCTTTCCTACAGACACTTCATCTAATAGTGCTGGTGAGAACACTGAGATTTCTATCACAATCAGCCATAGGACTCTGGTTTGGATATGAGTGAGGAATGTGACCATTCAAGTATCTCTTGCTCTAGCTCTAGCTCTAGCTCTAGCTCTAGCTAACCCATGGCAGTGGTAGCAAACACTCAATCTTTAGGTTTAGTTGCTAAGCAGTCAGGGAGTATGGAGGATTCCTCCATCCCCATGCATGCCCAGCAAGTCCAAGAAACAGCCCAGATCTTTGATCTGTCAAACAAGGAGGATTGGGTCAAGATCCTACAGCTCACTGTGAATCAGGCACTAGGGAACACCTTACCTTTGGAATACCAGAAAGATGAGAAATCTTTTGCAGAAATGGTGGCCCTGTTGGTGCAAAACTAACATCCTGGCCAGGCTGGAGTGGCAATCCTGTCAAATCTGACACAAATACCACAAGAATCCTCTCATCACTTTCATCTGTGGATGAGCACAGCTTGGGACAACCACATGGAAATGGAGCCAGAGGAATCACAGTATGTGAGTTTGCTAGTTAATAATTCTCATCCTTATTTACAGGAAAAGGTCAATATACATACACATGAGAAGACCTGCTTGGGTGAGGCCCTGAATCTGCTAGCCAAGGCCTATTCACAGGGGAATCCTAAGGGAGGTGAAAAAGCTCCAGTGGTAGCCCTACAAGATCCACAGGACCCCACAATAAGGATTGAGGGGCCAAATGGGACACCTCAGGGCCAGACCCAAAAT